GGGCTACCCGTGCCTCCTCTGGAGCCTCAGTTTCCATGCTTATGAGACGGAAATGGCGATCCTCTGTGGAGGGCTGAGTGATGTGATGCCCTAGGGCAGTGTTGAGCCTGTATCACACGCCTGTCATACTCGGGGCCCTCTAGGTGTGGGCACTGTTACCATCCGCCATTCATGGAAGCACAGGTGTAACTCCAGCTAAACACAGCCCCCCACCCCCTTCACCTCCTGAAGAATAAACCGCAGGGACTGGCATACAGTCGGTGCTCCATAAATGTTGCTGCTCCCCCCAGCATAGCGCATGAGCACCTGATCGATCCAGAAGCGTTTGTTGATCCGAGGCTGAACAGTGGGGTTTGGCTGCGCCTTCCAGCCCCGGACGATGGGGCCTCATCCTGTCCCTCTGCCTTCCCCCAGGCTGCCCGAAGTCCGCATCTCAGACAACGGTCCCTATGAGTGCCACGTGGGCATCTACGACCGCGCCACGAGAGAGAAGGTGGTCCTGGCATCAGGCAACATCTTCCTCAACGTCATGGGTGAGCACAGGGGCCCTGGCCCCAGGGTCCCAGCGAGGAGCTTTGCACATGGGCGTGTGCACAGGGGGGCTGTCCTAGGAACACTCTTCTTTCCCACTCCTGCCACCGAGGGGAGAGGAGACTGGCCTTGCCGAGGTGTGACAGGTGTGGCCTTACCACCCAAAGGTTTCCTCTCAGGAACCCCTTCTCCGACCTGCACTGATATACCCTGACCTCATGGACGCAGGGCTGTGGCTCGTCCCCAGATCCTCATGGCCTGGGCACTTTGGAGGGGCACAGCTGACACGTTGACTGGGACAACTGAGGGACTGAAGGAGGAATGAGGGCTTCCCGAGGGGCAGCAGACCCCAGCGTCCACTTCTGTAAGGCAGGGGTGGGATGCAGGCCTGACGGGTCATTCGTGGACCCCCAGCTCTGGGCCCTGGGACCCCATGAGGACACGGGGAGGAAGAAGCTGGGCACTGTGGGAGCACCTGTGGGAGTACCTTTCCAGGCGGAAGACAAGAGCCACGTTCATAGAAGTGCCTGTGGGGACGGTGCAGGGGGGCAAGCCCCCCCCCCCCCCCCCCCCCCCCCCCCCGCCCCGCCCCAGGGACAGGACAATCTGGGAGCCTCCCTGGGGGAGGTGATACACACCTGCTATGGAGAGTGATTCTGACGCTGGACCTCCTACGGCCTTTCCCAGGACATTGAAGCATCAAGTGACCAGTGAGAAAGTGGGTGTCAGGACTGGGTTTCGGGGTGTCCTGCCTTCTGACCCTGTGTCTGCCTCCATCTGCAACACGCGGATAGTAATGCCAGCGCCCGTCTCTGGGTGGCGCTGTCCACCACCCCAGCCTCGGTTTCTCCCCTTGTAAATCAAAGGCCTGTCTCTGGAGCCCCTGGCAGTGCTGACATTCTCATCAGCCACACTCTCCGATTCTGCTGCCAGAATTCTAGGGACCCGGCCCTGACGCCGGGCCCCAGGGTTCTCTGATTTTCTTATCAAATGATATTTACCAGGGAAACGAAGCTTGTCGTACTCAGGCAATCAGTGAGAGCATAAAGGCCCCGTGGAAAGCCACAGCTTCTGGGGAAATGGAAAACCTCCAAAGGGCAGACCTCCAGAGGGACATTGGTTCCCGCAGCGGCGGCACGTGGGGTGTTCTGGCTTCCTGGGGGATGGGCCGCGGCGGGGACACGGCGACTCCCTGAAGGAGACGTCTTGGTGCTCAGCCCAGGGCTGGTCGCCCCGGGGAATCTGGTGAAGAACAAAACTCGGTTTGCACCATCAAGGGGCCCCAGTCTGATGAGGGACATGCACGTAACCATTTATTTATCGGATGTTTATTGAGCACCTCCTACGCGCTAGGTAATGGACACGCTCCTTCAATAGGACGAGGTCCTTGGGGAGCTGTATCCAGTGCGCGATGCAAACATAAAACGTGTATAGGTGCACACACAGGTGTGGAGGCACAGAGAGGGCAAACCACTTGCCTGAGGTCACCCAGCCAGGATCACAAAATCTCCCTGTGATAGCAGCTCAGTGCTGGGGCCAGAAGCCAGGCATCTGGACTCCCACACCCCCTTTTGCGCCCCTGAAAACAGGTGTAGATGCTCCAGGTGAGGCTTGTCTCTCTGTGAGCAAGGACAGCATCCTCAAAAGCCACCTCCTCCAGGAGGCCTACGCTCCCTCCTTCATTCACCAGAGCTCCTTGTGCAGGTGCACTCTCCCTCTGTGGCCTCATTTTCCCTCTCCATACGGTGAGGGGGTGTAACCAAACGGTCCTAAGCGTCCTCCCAGCTCTGACATCTGTGAGTCTGTTACCCCGTCCGCTAAGCAAGCACCTGAGGCACAGAGAGATCTCGTGGGGCCGACCAGAACCACACGGCGGGCCTGATGGTCCTGGCTGAGCAAGGCAGTATACTCCTGGCGAGCATGAGCCAGCTGAGAATTCTCTCCTCCGGTCTCACTCTCCGGGCAGCAGGGAACGGTGAACCTCTGGGGTCCTCTCGATGCAAGGTGGCAGCCATCTGGGATGGGGCAGACAGATGATGTGATCCCAGTTACTGAACAGGAGGCTGAAGGCTGGCAGGGGCAGGGGGCAGTGGGGGAGT